ACGATGGCAAGTACGATCTGCCTGTCCAAGATGGGCAGATCGTACAAAATTTTAATGACCTTACAACCATCGCACAACGAATGTCATGCGATGGTTGTAAGGTGTATGGCCAGCTTTACTCTTAATTGCCTGAAAACTTGCATCTCCTCAATATACCCCTTTGAAGCGGCTGCAGCTGCCTTGAGCACACCTTCATTTCCTGTCTGAGCTACAAATGTCAACTTTCTCTGCTATCAATCATTTTGTTCCCGAGCTTTATGTGACAGAACACATCCCCGGCTCCCTTTAGGTGTCCCTGTAACAAGTCGACCAATCAGCAGTAAAGTCTGTAGTACCCAGTGGCCAGAAAGAAGAATCAGGCACATCTACAGAGAGCCAGGGGATGTGTTCTTTCATAGAACTATTTTAATAAAGATCCCAGGCAGAAATCTGTGACATTTACAGACCTTCAGTCCCTCCTACCAAACCCGGAACAAAGAGCAGCAGACAGAGCCAGTGATGACAAAACTAATTTCTGTAAAAAACTAAATTATTTGGTTGAGAAATTCCAATAACAGTTGCATGTTGATGGGGGGTGGGGCGGGGGAAAAGACAAAGAGAAGTGCAGGGGGTGGTAACAAGATTGCCAGGGAAGAGCCACGAGGAGAAAAGGGTACCGTACCATAGAATGATGTCATTCTCCATCCCTCCGGGGATAATGAAGCTTGCAGTGGGCATGTCTGGGAATAGCCCAGTGCCATTTCATATTCACCCAAACATGGTGTTCCTAGAACATCAGACGCTTACCAGCAGTATTGATTGGACACAGTGTGGCCTGGAGGCGCTGCAGCGGAGTTACTGGAAAACAAAAGCCCTGTGCAGATTTTGCTCCTGGTATGTGTTTCAAGATTACATTTCTTTATTAGCCGCATTATACCTTTAATTTTTCAAATATCCACAGATTTTTTTTTTTATTATATGTGTTACATGAAAGATGGCATTCCCGGTGTCCCTTTAAATATTTATACTCTTATGCTCCTGCATAATGCAGATTTGTTCTGTACACGCATAGTTCTCAATCAGTACACGGTCACTTACATTGTACAGACAGAACTCCCAAGGCATTTTTATTTATTTATGTACCTTAGCCATAATCAGTGCCTGGATTGTTCACATCAGTCACTGCACAAAATAAGCTTACTGTGTAATGTCCCTGTTATAGAGTGTAGAGGCCATTTGGGTTGGAATCTAACTCATCTGCAAGTAAGTTTTTGGGTTGCACCAGGAAATCGGAGCATCAGGAAGAAATCCATACAAGCATATCTGTAAAAAATAAGCCAAGGCAACTGGATTGCTGGCTGGCTGTATTTTTTTTGAAGACCTTTCACTGGTCATCCAACCAGCTGTCTCAAGTCAGAATGAATATCTGTGAATAAATTTGGTGAATGTCGCTCCATTCCACATAATCTGTTAGTCGCAACCAGGTGTTGATTTCATTTGTATAATCGGAGCTAGCAGGTGTTATTAACCCGCCAGAGAGAGGTGTTAAAACAGGGTTGTATGTGGCAGACAATAGATGCCTCACCCCTCCCACCTCTATTCAAGCTTGGCTTCTCCATTCTCAAAAGATGTATGCGCGGTTCCAAAACACTCCGCCGGTGGTAAGGTAAGTAGGAAGTGTCTCAGCTGGTACGCTTTCCATTGATCCAAACCAAAAATTCCGGCGGGATCGGTAAGAGATGCCATGGAGGGCCACGTATTCCCATTAATAAAATGGGATGCCTGAAAGAGGTTTTTGGCGATCAGGGATCGGAAAGGGCCAAACAAGGTTCCCGGTGGAAAAGCAGGGTTACCTATAATTGGGTAGAGCGGGGAAGCCTCTCCAACCAAATGCCACCTGGTGAGCGCTCTCGAGCACACAGCCAAAGTAGCACCAACCAGTGGGTGAGTCGTAAGCGAGGGGGGAAGAGTCGAGGGACACCATGCCGCCCTGGCTAGGTGTAACATATGCATACGGCTTTTCTCTGGTGGGGAGACATGGGGGTCGCTCCAGGGACTATAGTCCGTCTATGGTTCATTATGCGATGGGGTAGGGCGTTGGGGCCCACGCTCCCTGTGAGTCGGGTGGATCCGCCCCGATGAGCGATCCAATGGATGGTAGCGAGCGTGGTTCGGAGCACATGGCGGACGTCCAGCAGCACGGGCACTTCCTGTGGGGGACCAGCCCCATGCTGTGGAGGGAGGCAGCTGTATATGCTGCTGTTGAGCCCAGTCCTCGTCCTCTGCCTGCCAGGGCTCCGTCTCCTCCGGTCTCCCGTCCCTCTGTGTCACCAGAGTCGGGGTGGGAGGGGCCAAATCCGCCGTACGTGGAGCGGCGTCCGGCGGCCCCGTTAATACTGGAGAGCGGTGCAGGGAAGGCCTTCTCCCCTCCGAGTCCCGATCGGAGGAAGGGGGCATCTGCGGGTCCCGTTGCCGGGACACTTGACTGCTCCCCGGAGACCGGAGCTCTGTCTCCTCAGGCCTCTTGGAGTGAGGAGTCTCTCAGAGAGGGGTGGGAGGAGCTAAGTCCGGCCGCTGCTGAGTAGCGTCAGGCGGCCCCTTAGATACTGCAGGATGGCGCGATGGAGGCCTCCGATCATCCGGGCTAGAGGTCCCTTCAAACAGGCGGTGGAAAGCCGATTTAGGGGTCGACTTGCGCCCCTTCTGCTTGCCCTTCTTGGACATATGGTGAGTTGCCTGGAACGTGGGCTAGGGTGCCTGTTATGTAGATGCTGTGTCCGGAGATGGAGCTGTCCACTTCCTCACACGGCCATTGCCAAGCCACGCCCCCGGCTTCTCCATTTTTACATAAATGGCCTCTTTCACACCTCTTTTAAAACAGTCCTCCTCCCTGTCTAGGATGCGTACTTGACTGTCTTCAAAGGACTGACCTTTTTTCCTTTAGATGTAAGCATACTGCCGAATCCAGACCAGAGGGTTTGGCTCTTCTATGCTGTGCCATATGCTGGTGTCGCTGCTGTTTTGTTTCACCAACATTTTTTTTTGTACAAGTCATTCTGAATTGAGAAAGCTGGTCGGATGTCCAGTGAAATGTACGTAAGAAAAATACAGCAAGTCCAGTTGCCTTGACTTATTTTCTACAGATATACCATGACCTGAATGAATGAGAACCTTCAGAGACACATACAAGCATAGGAAGAACCTACAAACTCCATTCAGTGTGTCTAGTGGGAATTAAACCTGAGGCCCCAGCACTGGTAGACTGCTCATTGAATGGACGCCACATTGGCACAGCGAGCCTCAGGCATTAAACGCACTGTAATTTTCAGAATAGAAGGTTCATTTCTAAAATTGATCACCCTTCCCCATGCTCATGTGTCAGTTAAATTGCAGTTCCACTTCTTACCCCAGTGTGCATGTGCAGGAATGAAACGAAGAATTGGGCATGCTTTTGGAGGAATGGCTGCACAGCTCTAGATAGGGCTGCCCAGTAAAGATGGGGGATGAAGGTAAGTATTGGACCAGGTAAGATGTGATCAGTGGGGTGGGAGCATACCTTGAAGGACAACTTGCACCAAAGATTTCAGGTACAGGCTCAAATGTACATACATAACTGAATCATCAGAGCACTTGCTCATCCCCTTCTTGCTATCTTCAGTCTGCTCTGGCCAAAGTTTTAAATAGAAAGAGTCGGAAGGTAAACAGTTTCTGCTATGGGCTCTATTTTTCTAAATCCCATTATTATGCTCTGTATATCCAGTGTCATGCTATTGTTTTAAAGCAGGGGCAGGCAACCTCGGCACTCCAGCTGCAAAAAAATGAAACCCCAGGCAGCATTGTCAGCCATGCCTGAGATCCCCTCCACTGGACTTCAGAACACCTCCCCTTATGTTACATCATAGCCCAGCAGGGAAGAACTCAGGCATAGCTGGCAACACTGCTTGAATTTTTAGTGCAGCAGAGGCAGCTTTGTATGGCCATAACAGGAAGTTAGGAGCTCACCAGATTCCTGGCAGGATCAACAGTGTTTTTAAAGAGACAAAACATAAGAATACATGTACTGCATATGTTTTTTTCTTAAATTAGCCCAGACACACAAGTTAGGTTTTAGATGAAGGGGTGTTCAGACTAGACGCATGCTAAAATGACCCATTGTAGCGTGCGGGCTAGTGTCCGTTGTGTACCGGCGGTGGGGAATTGACGGGCGTGGATGGTGGTGTAAAAGTGAGGTTTTATTGTTGTCTGTGTCCTTGTTGGAAAGTTGTTGTCATCATTTGCTGTTCTGAAAGGAAGTGATGGGAAATCATCCCAACAGGGACACATATGGCAATAAAACATCTGACAGATTTCTAACCCTTCCCCACAATATTCAAAAATGTTTATTTGTAAAACAAAAAGTTTATAGGCAGTAAAATAAATGTATAAACTATCAGTTTAAAGAGCAACTGAAGCCAAAACTTTATTGTTAGTTTTGGATAGGGTAGAAAAGGACACAGATGGCAATCACAAAAGCTGACAGAGGTTATAGCCCTCCCTTACTCCATCCAAACTATCCAAAAAAAAAAAAGTTTTGGCTTCAGTTATACTTTAAAAATACAACAAGACAAAAAAAAAAAACTTTGACGGAGCATGAGGAGGCCTTCCCTAATAAAAAAAAATTAATTTGATAGTTCTTAGTTTCTACCCAAGTGGTTTTCCCCCCTTTTTAACTGCAATGGAGGAGTGTTAATGTTAGTGGCAGACATGCAGCTATTAGGGGTACACATGTAGACTGTCACAGTATTACTGTCATCCCTCCCTGTAAGTATTTGGGTGATTCATGTGTCCAGGGGATGTGATGTCCTCTTTCTGGATGTATCAAGGCTTCTTTCCCCTCATATTCTACAATCAACATGCCCAGGCTAAAGATTCGTCATGAATGCAACAGACATCTCTGTTTTATATAAAGTAATAACTGAATTTTATTTATTGAGGATTAGGTTTGGTGATCAGGATTCAATCTTGGTAACTGGTGACGTGAATTTTATGAGGTGGCTGGCTGAAGACTTCATTAGAAGAAGGCATAAAAAACTTTTACTTCTCCATCCACTTCCAGGGTGTCCACTTGTGCTAAGTTAAACATACGGTAATCAAAGTCAAAAGAGTGACTTCCATTTATAAAGACCTCGAATTTCTTCTCCGTAGCGCGAATAGAAATCTGGAAGAAAAAAATATATCTAATAATGAACATGGACAGTTTTCTGATTAAAGTCCTTACAACAGTAACAAAAAGCATGCATTTTGGACAGTCTATGACCAACCACCTGTTGGTGAATTACAGCTCTCACCATGGCGTCACCATTAGCAGTTGGCAGGTTGTCCAACCTTGATTCAGGTGTCACAACAAATACCAGACACACCTTCTTAAATCTGATAGTTCCCCGTTCACACCATAGGCGTTTGTGGCTCGTATTTGTCAGCATGGAAAAGTTCCACACAGGAAATGCTATTGATTTCTATAGTCCTGGTTCACGTCTCAGCATAGCGTCACGCTGAGAAAAAAAGCCGGTCGCTGGAGAAAAGTACATGAGCTTCTTTTTTTGGGCAGATCAGCGCGATTAGGAATAGAAAAAAGGGTCACATCGCACTGATCTTCCCAAAAAGAGGAGCAAACTTACAGGCTTGTGCAGAACTTTTCCCGTGCTGACAAATACGAGCTACAAACACAGGCGGTGTGAACGGGGACTAATTGTGTAGCATCAGAGCCTGCACCAGCTGCAGTGGTGACCAAGCCATAGGAACTGACTTGCAACTTCCTACTGCAACTTTGACTCACCTTCTCCTCACCCACCACCCATATCCTTATAGTCAATGTTTAGGCTACTTGACAGGCAGCTCTATAGCATCTGAACAGCCATGCCTTTCCAACAAATGTCTTTTAATCTAAAAATACTTTCATCTTTGGCTTTCCTAAAACAGAATTCAGCTTGTTGTCAGTTCACTCTATAGACTACTCAGAACTGTATGGTCATATTCCAAATGGACGTTGCTGCACCACCCCAAGAAGATCACCCTGTGCTGATTATATTGCCCGGCAACTTACCTCAAAGTTGTCACCCTGCTTAAGTGGGTTTTTGGCAATCTGTTTATCTTCTTGTCCCCAGGTGCCATTGATAAAGCTGTTCCTGACCAGAGTACCTTTGTTAAAACGTGGGTTTAGATGAAATGCAATTTCATTGCTGAATGCAGCTTTGAGGTTTATAACAAAGCTGTAGATAGAACAAAAAAAATTAGCTTGATTTCAAAATTAAAAGGATTTTCTGTTTTCAGTAGATATACATTAAAAAACTAAGTTGGACATGTGACTGTTCTCTGGCCAATCAGGTGTTTTTTTTTGGGTAGGGGGGGGACTGTTGGGGTTGCAATGGCATTACAGGTAGAGTCATGTGACTTCATGTTGTGGAGTAGAGAGAGTCGATGAGAGCACGCAGTGTCAAAACGAAAAAAAACAAAAAACAATTACCATATTTTTTGCTTCATAAGACACACTTTTTCCCCCCCAAAAGGCGTAAATGTCTGTACGTCTTATGGAGCGAATGTGTGAGAGCTGAGGCGGCGGGGCTGACAGTGTACCCAGGGGTGTGGAATTCCTGATGCCCGGGACATGCAGTTTCAGGGGCCGGGCGAGTAGTTTTTTTTTGTACATTTAGCCCTGCTCCGGACAAGCAGAGTTAAATGTATAGTGTGGAGCCGCCGATCGTTTTTCATACAAGTGATCTGATTAGATCACTTGTATGAAAGGAGCAGCGGCGATCCTGTCCGCCCCCCTCCCCCGCCGCGGTTTTCGGGGTCCCCCGCTCCTCAGGGGGACCTGTGACCACGGCATAGGAGCTCACCATAGAGCCTGTAGAGCAGACGAAAAACGTCCATTCTTTGTCTGCTCTGTGTGATCACTGAGACCGTGGCGGTGTAATCACGGCACCACCTGTCTCAGCTGTCAGGAACTACACAGAACCCTACCCTCCCTAGGTGCGTCTTATGGTCAGGTGTGTCTTATAGAGCGAAAAATACGGTAAGTTAATGTATAATTAACCCCATCCGCATAGATCCAAAATGAAAATTCACATCGTTCCGAAATGAAAATTCGGATGGATCCAAAATAACGAGTCAAATCAAAATTTGGATCCAAAATCCGTAAAACTAAAGAAATAAAAATCAGAATCGGTCCGAAATGAAACAATTTTTTTTGCGGGGTTACATGGCTAATAAACATTTAATACTAGGTGCACCTATGTCAAAGGGTTCCTAGAGCACTGTTGGTATTTAAAAGAAAGAATGCAGTAGAATCTATTTTCCTCTCTGTCCCCTATTGAAACCTTAGGGGATGCCTACTGAAAACAGTAAGGGGGAGGAATCAGTGCTCTGACATTCCACTGTGCATACATTTCAACTTGTGCTACTGAGCTCTGTAAATGGCAGGATTCTTTCAACAAAGCTAAGAGGGATAGACATAGAAACCTGTGAAAAGTAGCGGAATGCTCCATATGCTGGCTCTATGAACATAGAAAATATTCATATGCAGTATTACACATTTACATGCCTAAAATATATATGCAAAACCAGTGTCTTTTACACTAATTCAGTGGATTCAGCAAAACATGTTTTTATTGGAGATATAAAATACAATCATTTATCCATTCACCATTTCTTGTATAATCAAAAGGTGTAGGTCATATACAGGGATGTTTAAAAATAATATTTTACATCAGTAAAGAAGATAAACTCAATGTAAACAATCCCAATATCGCTGTGCATGGGGGAAGCCTTTTTTTGTCTCACTGCTAATCAAAAACAATAGACTTTATGCACTAATGATTGGTAGCTGGAGACCATGTGATCTAGGCTGCCTACCTCTAGGCAGAGCACTGATGAGTACAGTTGTTTCTATTCATGTTATGCAAGAGGTAATTTTTTTAACCGAAGATAAATAATGTGATGTAATGTGATATGGTGATACTAATATAGAATTCAGATTCATGTAATGTACGATTTTTTATTAAAGACAGACCCAGAGAGACTTGCAGAGGGGCTGCATGACTGGGGGGAGGAATAGTCCCTGGAGAAGGGGTTCTCGGATCAAACAGTTGTTAAGAGTATGTATTTGTATATTATTTTGTTTATTACTTTGGTTATTGTTAAAGTTGGTTTGGTTAATAAAAGTGCTGCTGTGGCCATTTAAATCCATGTTGCACAGTCTGTGTGTTTATTGGGGGTTTTTAACAGAGGGATGTAATCAACGAATCCATCAGTCATGAAGATACTTTAACTGTAATTTATTGTTAGTGATTTAACTTCAGAATTATAGTAAAAAAAATACTCTAAAAATTCAAGTTGGAGCTGATGAATATCGATTTCAGGTATTATTCTTGGCAACAAGTGAAAGCCATCAGTCAGTGTCTAATGCTATGAAGCCAACACAGCCACTATTTACTCCACTGCAACTATTATCCAGAAACACCCTACAAGGTCATTGGTAATGTGCTTCCTGAAGCCTACGCTGTTTAACTTCCTTTTCTGCTTCCTGATCAACAATCATATTTAATATTCCAAGGTAGGTCTGAATTAGATTGGTGGCACTGAAAAACTTAGGGGGTTATTCACTCGGCTGCCGAAGGCCGTTCGGCTATTCACTTCGGCCCTGTACGGCTGATTTCAGCTGTACATCGGCTAAAATCATCCGTACATTGGCTGTCTTCGGTCAGCCGAACATACTCTGCAGCTATGTCATCTCCCCGCTTCGGCTGTGACTACGACTCAACCGAGCCGAAGCATGTCTGAGCCTGACATGACAATAGCCTGTACAGTAGCCCTTCAGTTTAGTCCCAGTCCCAGCGGCTGAAGGATCAGCCGAAGCTACAGCTAGATCCTTCGGCTCCTTTGTGAATAAGCCTCTTAGTAGTAGTCCTATTTTTAGACGTTCTGTATGTGAGCGGCAGCAAGAAGTCTTCAGTAGGTGTATTTCAAGAGCTCCTCAACCTGATTCTGCATGTAATGTCCACCTTAGCCTCAGTTTTGCTTTGAATTGGAACAAAGCTCAAATCCTCACATTTAGCAATCTAATACCACAATCTCATTCACATATAGAAGCTCTGACCCTGGATTGTTGAACAGTGCGAACAATGCGAGAGCACAGCCTAGTTCTGAAGAGCTAAAACCTATGAGGTCACTTTGTTTTGTGTGACAAGTTCATTTTTGTTTTAGCAGACCATTCTCCCCGGAGTTTAGTAGGAGATTGCTTCTTACTTTTTTCCAGTTGCGATCCCTTTCACAACCACAGAGCGCTTTGGTATCATTCCTCCATTGATGAACCCTTTGAATGGGAGTGTCTAAAATGGACAAAAGTCTCATTGTAAAAGATGAGTATAAAAACAAGAGGAAATAACAAGTATGTAAGGTGTCCATGGTAAACAAATCAGATGCTTGTTTTCTTTCTGTCATTTCTGGTAGGAGTATAGTGATTGGAATTTGAATGGTTGTCCATATATACAATATGGACACTTTTGTGTTGCAAGTGAGAAAATATACCATACTTGGTATGAGCTTGATATTATATGGTTAAAAATAAATTTAGATACTTACTGGAAGTATGGCTGGAGGTCCCATTATGGGCTAAAGGATAAAACAGAGAGAGGAGAACACGAGTGAAGAAAACAATAAAACAAAACAAAATCATAAGCGTGCGCAGCCTATCGCATTAGGGTGTGCACACAAAAGTACAAACACACATGTATTGTGGCAGTGTAAGCCAATGCCACGGTGGAGGATGGCGACCTTGGCACCCAGGACTCTCAGTCAAAGGGGCTGAGAGGGTCCAGAAAGTAAAGCATGTTATTAGGAAGAACCTGGCTTTTCAGGTTCTTCCAGGTTTTCCTAAATGTAGCTGGGATCTGGAGCTCTGGAGATCTCTTAAGGTGCCCATACACCTTACGATTATCGTACGATAATCGTATGCGATCGACTTTTCGAACGATTATATATATATATATAGAGAGAGAGAGAGAGAGAGAGCGAGGGAGAGAGACAGCCAGGAGAGAGAGGAGAGATAGCGAGCAACACATCTCCTTGAAGCTGAACCCCTGTGTCCTTCAAGACTTAACTGCACCCTGTGTTTCGAAAAACCCTCCATGTCCCATCCCTCCACTATGCACTCAAGTAGGAACACCAGGACCCCATGGTTGCCCCTGTCTGCCTGACATCTTGTGTTCGGCTTGTGTTCGGCTTTCAGCTGGTCAGAAACCCGGACACAGCACATACAGGACTCAAAACCTGAACTGTCCATGTGAATCCCAGACAGGTAGCAACCCTATGTATCTCTGAGCCAGTCACAGATAAATCTTTGTGATCTCCACCAGCTCAGTGACTAAAACCACGGCGCCCGCTTTTGCGGGTTTAGTGTTGCGCTCGGGGTGAGTAGGGTGTTCACGCCTATGCACAAAATGTACCTTTATCTGACAATACTTACAATAAGCTGAGCTTGCATAGGTGACATCAGAAGACTCTGCAACAGAAATATAGTCATTAGCATCTACCACCTACCAGTGTTGTCCATAACAATCAGTCAGATTCTATCACAAGTTTTGTAACCTGCACTAAAAATAATGTCAGTTGCTATGGGCAAGAAAAAGATAGTCTTATAGAGCAGTAGAGAGGGTACTGGCACACAATTAGGTAGTATCAACCAACTTTGGCGCTACTCAAGCATTATATGAATATCAATGCTGAGATGAGGCATCACGGCAACTCAAAAAATAAAGAAATATCTAGAAATGTTAATTGTAATTAAGCAGTACCCTGAAAGACATACCTTTTGTCTTTAGTTCCTCCTAAAAAATAGCAGGGAGCTTCCTGTGTCTTGAGCCAAATAACTGTATATTTGCAGTGTGAGATCATCCAAGGCACTGCTGCCTCGGTCTGTTAGGGCCTGTGTTGATGAGCTTTGGGTTTGTGTCGGTGGCATTTGTTTCAGACACATCTGGGATCATTCAGAATTAATTGACAACTGTATTTGACCTGCTTCTGACCTGATTGGAGCCGGTTTTGCATTGCCATAGACTCGTTTGGGAATGCAAAACCCACCTGATGCATACAAAACCCTGTCGACACAGGCCCTAAAGGTTCAGCGGGGCGGGCTTTCGATGATCGCAAGTACGATCTGCCCGTCCAAGATGGGCAGATCGTACAAGCTTTCAATGAGCTTACGACCATCGCAAGTCTTAGGAGATTTTAAATGAGATTTGATGATATCACTACTGTGCTGCTCACTGTTCTCCTTGCTGGAGAGAAAGATGTACCTGAGGACCTGCAGTGCAAGGATCTCCCTGCTTTTGATTAATTTATTCTTTGGAACGGTGCTTTCTGAACCTCATCTGCTGCTGCTTGATTATTCCCCCACCAGTTGTTGGGGGAGCTCTGACAAGTGAAAGTAAAGACCCTCTTCTCTACCTAAATGGCTGCCTCGACACAGAGACATGCTGTGGGACAAGACATAGGAAGTAAGTAATGGGGATTAGATCAGCTGCAGTCAGAGACTCTAAAGGCAATACTGATAACCAGTCCTTTGTCCTCTGCTTGCCTTTTTAGGCCTTAGCTTCCACAGTTCAGATCCTCTTTAAACATAACATAGCTAACCACAATTCTTTTGTGGATTTAGGCAAAGTATCCGGACGGGCCAACTGGCCAAATATGACGAGTAAGTTCAGTGATTTTCCCGAATTGCGGACTGGCTGGGTACGGGTCTAATGTGAGCATGAATGAATCCCAACCCTTTTTGTCAGAATTCTGTTATAATTATGCATAATTTTGCATTAACACATAATTCTGATATATTATCAAAGAATTTTAAGATTCTGTCTCAGAATTATTATTTTGTCCCCTTGGACCCTGTGCTCGTATTGAAAGCATGCTCACCTTACAGCATTTTTTTTCACAGGTGCGTAAAACTTTTGCACAATACTATACATATACTACAACCCAGTCTGTAGCTAGATATTCATGTGTAAACACTCTGGCAGCTGCCTCATACAAGCTTGTTTTTGTCTATAAAGCGAATAGAAGAGGGCATTGGGCATACACCTCTCGGTGTTGGCTTATTTGGGGCGTGGGGAAAAGCTTTAAGCCTTTCAAATCTCTCTGGTCAATCTTTTGCCCCTAGAGGAGTTGGTTGGAGGCTTTGCTGTGTCCAAAGACATGATATTCTCATTTAATTTAACAAAACATTTTCAACCACGATCTCATGCCTCTAGTCGCCTGTAGACAGGAAAAAGTTGTGATAGGGATACAAAACAGATCAAAGTCTGGGAAACAAACTATTTATATTGGTTTCATCATGCCATTCCTAATTGGAATTCAGACAATGCCCATCAATGTTACTTACTCCCTTCGTTCCAGTACCAGCGCCAATGATGGCCAGGTGTTGGACGATAATATCTCCAGATACACTCAGCCACCTCACTTGTTCCAAAGGAATACGGTGTCCATACTCATAGAAACGTTCCCCATTGGCTGCCAGCTGCATAATGAGAAAAATACATGAAGGGTCACTCACTAACTAGAAATAATCTGTAAGCACTCTACAGACATGTGCGCCCGTTCATACATAGTTAAACCAGCCGGTGGTAGAACTGCTTGATCTGCTTCATCTGCTTGTGAAAATGGGAGTTGCATTTTTAAAGTGTTTGATAAAATGTGTTCCAAAGAGGTTTCAGCAGCTCTGACAAACTTTATTTTATATAAGACTATATTCATTTTTATGATGGGCGCAAAATGACCATGCTACTGATGAAGAGATTCTTCAGTTCAATCCCAGTTAAAGTCATTGGAATAGATATGCAGTCAGATGGGCATTATACTCACAACCAGGGCCGGATTTCCCCCAAGGTCAACTGAGGCCTGGCCTCGGGGCAGCAGGGAGTAGAAGGGCAGCAGGGGTGTGGAATTCCTATCTCCCAACGCACGGTGCATTCAGTCCTGGGCACCAGATGGGTAGTTGTTCTCTACATTTAGCCCTGCTTTTGACAAGCAGGGCTAAATGTAGAGCGGGGAAGCCACCACTTGTTTTGTACAAGTGATAAAAAAAATTAAATCCAACCCTGTGGCCCCCTGCCATCTGGGGGGGAAATTTGGTGTGGATTGGGGCACATTAACGAACCTGGCCTTGGGGCAGCAGAGAGAGAGTAAATCCGGCCCTGCTCACAACCTCCATTGTCATAGACTTACTTACACTTTTCTGTTAGCACGGTGTCTGAATATGTACCAATGGGCACCAGAGTTAGACATAGTGCACTCAGTAATCAGCAGTCACAGAGCTGGCTAGATACACTGCCTCTCTTCATCTGCAATACAAGTCTGTTTGAGGACACTTGTACTGTGAGGTGCGGTTGATATTTACATATACTAGCATAGAGCAACAGAGTAGAGCTGGCCAAACACTGCTCAAAATTTGAGAAGTGAGTGACCCAATTGGCACACTCTGTTCAACAAAAGATGATTTTTCATTTGACTTTTATCCAAGGAGGCGGCCCAAAGGGCATCTTGCATTAGAAGGCACTGTTTGTTTAAACATTTTACAAACCCTGACTGTTTTGCTTTGAAAACACACACACCCATCCACCAAACACATAGGGGTCTATTTATAAACAGTTTGCCATTCGCCCCATAAATCTCTGTAAACATTTGTTCTGTGTGAATAGAGGCAAAAATGAACATTCTTAGAATACTTTCTTTTCAGGCCGAAAAGATGGGGCAAATACCCCATTATGGCCACTAGATGGAGCCGATGATCATAGGGAAAAACATGCTTAGTTCCTATGCTCTTCAGCTCAGTTTAGTTGCTATAGTGTAGAATTACATCACAATACATTCAAACTTGAAAAAAAGTATATTAAGAATATTCGTTTTAGTATTCTTCACCTGAAACAAACGTTGACAGATATTCACTGAATTGTTTATAAATAGACATAATTGTAGATGACTGCCGCACTCCTTACCGAATGCCCCTTGTGCTGAAAGGTGGGTGCTGAAGCGACTGCGGATGGCGCAGCGCATCACAGTGTCTATCAGAAATGTCACCAGCACACCAATGAATGATGTCATAAATAAAACGTATTTTATTCACGCATATTGTCACATCAAAGATGCAACATCTTATAGGAAACGGTACTGTGTATGCAATGTGGTCTCTGGCGAAATGTTAGTCTTTTTTGACGCTTTAACTGATGCCTACAGTTATGTATCACTTATATGCTACTTTAATAAAAATTGTCAATTATAAAAAAAAAAGATGCAACATCTTGCGGCCACTCAGGGCCCCCTTCATCTTTTGTTAAACCTGATAAAGGGGACCCTGCGTGTGTGAATAAACGACGCTTTATTTTGGACATCATCCATTGGTGTGCTGGTGACATTACTGATGTTTATAAATAGACCCCATAGTCACTACCCCTTGAATTTCTTCCTAATTAAGTATGTATGGGTGGGAGGCCACAATTTATCTCACCAGGTAATTGTTCCGCGTTATCTCAAACATCATAGTGAAGACCTTTCCTGCCTTAAATGGCATGTCTTTTTTAATTTCCTCCTCCTGCCATTGCCCGCTCTGACGTGAGTTAAAGACACAGCGGTCACGACCGTCATACCGAGCGCTTACGTGGAAGGCAATGTCTGAGTCGTCACCTTCCAACGTGGTAAAGTTAACAGAAAACCTAAAGTAAAAGAAGATGAGAATGAAGAAGAAGGCTGTAGGAGAAGAATGGCACTCCTTCAATATGACTATTATGGGGAGTCAGTTTATTTCATGAGAATATGGACACAGAGGAAATAAGAAAGTGGTTGGACCTAGAAGAGAAAACATGGTAGTACATCAACATATACAAACAATTCTATGGATTTAGAATGCGTGTTAATTCAATAGTTATCTGTGATAAAGAGAAGAGATGGACACTGTGCCGGATTCTTCCAGTGGTGTGTGGAAGTAGACATGCGCGATTTGTTTCGTTCCAAATCAAAATTCGTATACATTTTCTGAAATTCGGGCATTCGGACACATCCGAATTTCCAAATCCCAATGCATCCGAATCCGAATTTTCATTACGTCAACATGGGAGCCATATACTGTATATACATATAATGCTAAAGCTGAGGTTCCTAGATCCGAATGGCATTCGTGATCCCAATTTCCGAATTGCATTCGGGAGCTCCAGAATGCCATTCAGGTCTGGAAGCCTCAGCTTTAGTAATATATGTATATGGCTCCCAGACCCGAATGGCATTCTGGAGCTCCCGAATGCAATTCAGAAATTCGGATCCCGAATGCCATTCGGGTCTAGGAGATTCAGCTTTAGTATTAATCTCTGTATATGGTTTTTTGTAGTATTCACAACGCATATTCGTAAACTCATCCGGAACTAACGAAAATTCGGATTTGATCCAAATCCGAAAACCGAATTGAATTTCGGATCTGAATCCCGAAATAATGAAACCTCCGAACCGAAAAACAAATTTTTCCGCAGCTTACATCTCTATTTGTAAGTATCATGAATAAGGCCTTCTCTTGTCCTCTGTGCTTCCATGATGTCTGTAGGTTAGGCTGGCTGTAGAAACAGGTCATGCTAATGAAGATTTATGCTTGCCATGTACATTACAATTTCACTTTGTACAGTCTCTACAATCTCCTTTAGATTTACCGAAACCTATGTAATGTAAAGGCCTAAGAAAACAAATTATTTATGGCTAATCCTGCAAGCCCACACGCTACATAGTTGTTAGTAGACCTAAAAGTGATTGCAGGGGCGTCCTGAAGCCGGGTGTCACCCAGTCATTAGACCGGGTGACACCTCCCCGTGTCGTCATCGCGCATGTGCAGCCATCTCATTGACGCCTACCGGCGGCCATCTTGATGATGGGCGCCGGCAGAGGGAGGAAGGGACGTTCACCCGGCGGCATGAGGTATGCATCCTCTCTCCTGACACTGTCGGACTCTCGGTCCATGACCGAGTACCCAACTTTTTAGAGGGGGTGGTTTTTTGTAGTATTCACAACGAATATTATTTTGGTGTCGCCTCTCCAATGGTGTCACCCGGGTGCGGGCCGCACCCACCTTGTGACGCCACTGGGTGATTGTAATATCAGACTGTAATGTCATTAGCTTTGAGCTAAGGACAGACTATCATCTCCTGCAAAAATAATGTGTTGAAGACATCTTCCAGTTGGTTGTAGTTCTAGGACTTGCTGCTGTGTAACAAGATACTCATCCAGTGAACTGAAGTGGCACATGTGCCGTCACTCTTCTCAAATCCTAACCCTCACCATCCATGTAACCTTGACCCCAAAATGTAAGCCTTAAAGTTGAACAATGAGCAAAATTATGTCAACAGTATGGAGACAGCAGCTTTTTGTTGTCTGTGTCCCCTGTATGTTCTATTACCTGTTGATCCTGCCAGTAGATTATTTTTCCACTTCCTTTAAAGTGGAATTAAACAGAATACTTGCACATTTTGGCACACTTCACCTGTGGGTTTTCTCTCCTCCGCAGTGCGAGGTCTCTGCTGCTGGCATCTTCTTTAGGCTGGGTTCACACCTAGGCGTATTGAATATGCGCGTTTGTCGCGCGTTTTTACAGCGTTTTGCGGTAAAAAAACGCGCGACAAACGCCCGTTTCCGAGGGCTACTTGGCTGTATCCCAATGGAAACGCGAGACCAAAACGCCCCAAAGAAGTACATGTACTTCTTTGGGCGTAGGCCGTTTTGTATCGCGTTCGGACGGGCGGAAATACGGCAAGGTGTGAACCAGACCCATTGAATACAATGGGATTTAGATGTTTGAGCGTTTTGCAGAGCGTTCGTCGAGCGTTGAACGCGCTACAAAACGTTCAGGTGTGAACCAGGCCTTAGGGTCTGGTGTTGTTTTAGTTTGCTGATTAGGCAGCCACTAATATAATGGGCCGAGCCTGCACACGGTACTGTATAAGAGTCTTTTTGGCTAAAAAGATTTATGAAGTCTCTTCAACCAAATAACTCCTGCTGGCAAATTCTTCTTTTCAAAGTTTAATTTCACCTTAACAGACCAAGTTCTCCAGAAAGATTGGCAGCCAGGGGGTTGGGAGAAACCATTGAACAATGACAGGGGTGCATACAACGTCTGATTTTATTCATACGGGTTTAAACCTTTTTTCTAAAAGAAAAAGCTTTAACTGTTTAAAAAGTGCAGGAGTTAAAGTCCATCTACCCTTTCCATAAGGTGGCAACACTGTCACCCTAGGACAGTGTGTGTATTACTGGCAGGATCACCAGGTGAAAATAAAGGATTTACCTGTCATTAGCCTTATCTACCTTTTTCTTTATTTCTCCATTTTCACATATCAAACGCTCCTGGGATGGTGAAGGTAATGGAACCCTTTATCAAACACGGGCTGATAATTCAGTAATTAAGACAGTTCAATCACCAGAGGTAGGCCAGGGGAACCCCAGGGCGCACATCTGTCCATGAACCTATCTATGCTTTGTTAGAATTTGTAATGTCACCATTGTTCTCCATACCTCCCCATACCTATGGATCATGTTTCTTATACTTTTCTAAACCCAATAGAAACTGTTGTGCATGAAAAACAAAGACAAAAGCAGTAGTAGTGAATGAGTATTCTTACCTTTTATAATCATGGGGAAGCGTGGCCTGGATAAAGACACCCATACATGGTCGTAGCCCTCCAGCAATCATTGTAGTATAAGGTATTGGCTGAAAAAGGGAGAGAAAGGGTTACTCTAAGCAGCACTCTACTGACCATACGGTTTCGCCAGCCAGCGTCCAGGACAGCAGTGTAAAAGACGTTGGCTCCTAAGTACAACATTTACAAATCAGGCATATGTATTAAGACCTTGCACCACGCAATGATTCCATGCAACCTGCTAAATTATCTGTTCCATCATGTTCCGCTCAGGTCCATAGCTTGGTCTATGGCCAGTATACACCTATGCAGTTCACTCAGCCTGTGATATCATTTGGAGGGACAACTCCCTGCTAGTCTTTAGGCAACAAGGTCCTTAAAGGAGAACTATGAGATGAGTGATTTCCACTCACTTCATAGTTCTAGCCGACCTGTGACAATGAGACTGTCACAGGTCGGCTCAGTAGATCGGGAGGTGAGCGAACACATACCAGGTTCGCTCACCTCTCGATCCTGTCACGGCTCTCTGCCGTGACAGGGGGAGGGGCTGGATTCCCCTCTCCCCGCTCCGATCCGCCAGCGCTGACTGGCGGAACGGACGGGGGAGGGGGCGGGTACAGCTGGCTCTGCCTCTAGATAGGCAGAGCCAGCTGTCACTCACGCAGCTGGGCGGATCCCGTCATCTACGTCGGGATCCGCTTCGGCTGCCGCGTCTCAGTATACCGCGAGCTATAGCTCGCGGTATACTGAGCTTAGGGTAACGGGAGGACGCTAGTTTGTGTCCTCCCGTTACCCTAAGGAGAACTATGGGGAAAAACACTGACCCCATAGTTCTCCTTTAAAGGGACACTAAACTCCGGAGTTAAATCTTAAAAATACATTCAGGTACCTTAACTATTAACAAAAATGTATCTTATTTTGTTTCACTCGGCTGTAGATCCTCAAATCATCTCTGAATTGGTGCTGACACTATCCTTACTTCTGGAGGGGGGCTGCTTTTGTTCCCCACGGTCCCTAAAGAGAACTATGGGGAAAAACACTTACCCCATAGTTCTCTTTTAAGGTGCGTCCTTACACTAGCATTGGGGGGGATATCCTTCAATGCCAATTTAACAAAAATGTATCTTATTTGTGTATCACTCGGCAGTAGATCCTCAAATCATCTCTGAATTGGTGCTGACACTGTCCTTCCTTCTGGAGGGGGGCTACTTTTGTTCCCCACGGTCCCTATGTGTGTTGTAAAGTAGTCACCGCTCCAAGCTCACTCCTGTGATGGACTACAATCTAAATGCTAATTAATAAAGTAAACGTGAGATTGTAGTCCATCACGGGAGTGAGCTTGGAGCGGTGACTACTTTACAACACACATAGGGACCGTGGGGAACAAAAGTAGCCCCCCTCCAGAAGGAAGGACAGTGTCAGCACCAATTCAGAGATGATTTGAGGATCTACAGCCGAGTGATACACAAATAATACATTTTTTATTAATAGTTGAGGTACTTGAATCCATTTTTAAGATTTAACTCTGGAGTTTAGTGCCATTTTAAACCTAAATTCCAGGCAAACAGTGAAAGTCACAGAAAAATAAATACATGGGATTTGTTCTACCTGCCAGAGGATTTGTATTTCTGTCTATGCAGTTTTGAGATTTACGCAGCTCTGTAAAATGGCACAGCCCTCTCTGGCAGGGCAGAAGACCTGATTTGTTTTTGCACTGCAATTAAGCAATTCAAATAGGTCTTGTCCTCACCCCCGAGCCTGTGACTGGACTACTAGGCTTACTACAATAAAATTGACCAAATAACTTGCTGGCTGATTTTTTCCTTGAATTCCTCTAATCTCTAGATTAGCGCTGTATTGTTCTTGTAATGGGGCTTATTCATTAATCTTTAGAACCAAGCCCAGTTTGCTTGCTTTCCTTTGTGTATGACTTGCATTGTAACTAGCATTGTGCTCTCCACAAGTCATAACATGACTTTACTGCCTGAGTCATTAGTGGGTTAGAGTAGAGAATTGAGCCTGCAGCTTTATGAAAGTCATCTCTCCACGTCACCTTACCTACAATTATTGTAAATGGAGTAATTGCTCAATAGCATGCTTCTTCTCAGTAGGAGCAATGAAATACATTCATACCAATTTAAAAAATAAAGCTGGCTTAACACTGCTTAATGTACCTGCTGACGTGGCACAAATTTGAGCAGTGTGTGGCCCTGTTGGCACCAGTTCATTCAACAAAAGTCGATTGGGCCAAAATGTACTGGTCCAACAGTGACTGCAGCCAATCAACTAAAGTCACTGTTTGGGTATTATGACAGCTGCTTTAGCATACAATAAGCAGGGAAGATTCCCCCATCCACGTTGTTTAAGTGCATGTCCAGCTAAGTGCAAAGCAGAATAAAGCTGTAGGCCACATAAAAATGGGTACAGTCTGGCTTCTCATTTCCTTTTTTTTTTGAACAGCACCTAGAGAAGGGGTGGGAAACTCTGGCCCTCCAGCTGTGCTTTAACTACAAACCGCAACATGCCTCTGCCTCTGGGAGTCATGCCTGTAACTGTCAGTCTTGCAATGCCTCATGGAACTTGAGGTTCCACAACAGCTGGAGGGCCGGAGTTGTCCACCTCTGATGTAGACTGTTCAGGAGACATGTTAAAAAAATAAAGCAATTTGTTCCTCCCTTATCCCTCTAGCCAGGTCCATGCGCCCTTCACCCCCTTCATACAATTTACATTATAGAAGGTTATAGACTGTTCTACAGGTGATTAGGACTACAATCCCTTACTTTACCTAGCATTTTAAAAATGTCAAAAAAATTTTCTGGCTCCTCTACTAACAGTGCACATACACATAAGAGTGCACATACACATAACAGTGCACATACACATAACAGTGCACATACACATAACAGTGCACATACACATAACAGTGCACATACACATAACAGTGCACATACACATAACAGTGCACATACACATAAGAGTGCACATACACATAACAGTCCACAAGGGAATCTAGCAGGGCTATTCACAAAAGGGGGAAGAGTTTGGAGAAGGTAGGATAAGTGAACAGTCTAGGACAACATAGCTGAACTGGAAAGTGAGCTGAAGTGGAGATTTTTTCCAAATCAGCTATGTTGTCCTAGATCAGGGGTGCCCAACTGGTAGATTCCGATCAGCTCACTGACCTGTGTCCTGTCCGCCCGCAGTGCTCGTGCAGCTGAATGTGTCAGACGCCGCAGACGGGAAGGAGAGAGGAGACTTGAGGAAGCTGCTGCAGTGGCGATAAGAAAAGACAGACAGGAGAGAGACTGCAGAGAAAATGAGAGAAGAGACAGCAGAGAGAGAGAAGAGACAGCAGAGAGAGAGAAGAGACAGCAGATAGAAACAGGGGAGAAAGAGAGGAGAGATCGCGAGGAGAGAGAGCCGGTTCACTTCAATGCACTGCCACGCCCCCTCCCGCCCCTGAATGCAGGTGTTTTTTCGTTGGTAGATCTCATTGAGCTCATCACTTGAAAAGTAGATCTCCAGACGAAAAATTGTGGGCGCCCCTGTCCTAGATTGTTCACTTCTCCTGCCTTCTCCAAACCCTTCACCCATTTGTGAATAACCCTGTAGTACTTGTGTTTAGAAACGTCTCTGTAGGCTTTGTGTTGGGAATACTGCCAAGGATAGGCATGGATGAGAATGCTGGTTACTGCATCAACACAAGTGCCTCTTGTTCTAGGGACAACTCTAACATTTTGGATTTCTCCTCACTTTCTTTTTCAGTGATAATGGTCATCAGTATAAATAGAGGGGTGAATCTCCCCAATGGCAACACAGACAGCAATAAAAACCCATGACATAGGGTCTAACCCTTCCCTGCTCTATCCAAAACTGAAACAAAGGTCTACGTTATTCTATGTTCATAATATGTCTTGTAACACTCTTATCTCTGCTGTTAAATATTTCTGATGAATAATTTACTAATGGTAAAGGTTTTGCGTGCATTGTACATAGATTGATGTATGGCGGCTATTGTTTCTGAAGAATCAGACTTTGTTTTGTGAAACGCGTAGCACATCTTTGTCGACCAGCTACAGAACTCCCCCATTATGGACTTTACATGATATGGACGGTGATGATCCTCAATATTTAAGTGAAGAATGCAGAAAAGGAAAAGAAGGAGAATATTGATCAAGTTGTAATCTGTGTGGTATACTTGCTTTTAGACCATAATAGCCATTTATTTGACCTTTATACTTTGATTCATAATTTTTTATTTTGCCAATCATATTATATTAGATCTCCCTTGGATTAAATATGTATTGAGGTGTTGGTTTGTTATGCAGGTAGTCTTTAGAATCCCCATTTAAAGCATACTTATCACTTTTCTTTATAAAGTAGACCAAGGTGTTTAGGAGGACAGTGACAGCCTGGTGCATGAGATATGGTGCACATTTTGCACTAGGACCCTGTGGCTTTATGTTACTCCTCTAGTTCATGTCTTTAGAGGGTAATTCATCACAGTCAGCTTTCAGTAGGATGTCCCATGTTAATTTGCCTTCTGTTCTCTTGACTTGAACATAAAGTGGGCAGATGGGGATTTCTTATGGTGTAGCTATTGACTTCTTGGCAGGGGATCTTCCCTTTCAACTGTGAATGCTACATTTTTTGGAAGCATCTCTTCACTTTTCTTTGGGTGAAGCTTTCTATGATTTTCATTAAAGTACCAACAAGTGTATTACAATACGTTACTTTTTGGTAAGTCTATTTTACAGCCAATCAGAGTGAAGATACAGAGAGTGCAATACAGACAGGACATCCCCTTACGTGCCCAGGTAGTTAGCAGATGACCATCCCCACGTCTCGCAATCTTGCCCCTGACTGATGCATCAAACCTCATTCATTTAGCATAGTTGACAAGTTGAAATTACCTTCTGAAGCACTTGTTGTGAGCTGCCATATATTTAATTGGGTTCTGATGTGCTTATACAGGTGCCCATAGACAACACATAAAAACCTGCCACCCACAAACCATTATTTTTATCTTTTCATTGATCAAATGATCATTCATTTGGTGGTAACACACAGC